TTATAAAGATGTTAAAATATGATATCAAAGGGTGAGCATTAAATGTTCTGAAATAATTGACAGGCAAAACTAGGGAATAGTTACTTAAAACTGAAAAAAAAAAGCAACACAGTATCAAAAACATGGGTAAAAAAATACTTCCTCAATACATGCGTATCTTGCTTTTAAATTAACACACTTTACAAATAAGGGAACTTTGCATTTTATGCTAGAATCTTTTTTTGTTTTTGTTTATACTCCATAAAAAACAAAAAGTATGAATCATATAGGCCATCAAACACCTATTAAGAACTTCATTCTTAACACAGCTTTCATTTGAATAAGTTACTTAAACATGTTATCTCAATTATGTATATGTAATATATATGGTAAAAAGATCCCAGTAAGTTGTATTTCATCATATAATATTACATATTACACAAGAAAATTCTGCAATGTAAAGTGTTTTTCAATAAATAAATAAATTAGGCTGAAAATTACTTTACCTCACAGGTAATTCTTCATTGTGCTTTTCAAGATAGAATAAGTATAATATGAGCCGCATCATGACAAAACCAACGTAATGCGTTTGCAACAAGCATGGAACCAGACTAGCCTGTGCATCCGGGCAGTCTGATCAGGATCCATGCTGTTCGCTTACAGACCGTATAACAAGTAGAGAAACTGATAGCGAACAGCATGGATCCTGATCAGACTGCCCGGCTGGATCCATGCTGGTCGCAAACACACTATGTTAGTTTTGTCACGACGCGGCTCAAATATAAAGAACCTGAAACATTATATCTAACATCAAACTAGAATCTTCCACCAACATGTCATAAATACACTTAATAACAAAAACAAGTGTCTTTACCACAATAAAACAACAATAACAAGTGTCTTAACCACAATAACAAGTGTCAATAACTACATGTTCATACATTTTGTATTTTTTCAGAGTGTTCTCTCCTCTATATTTTGCCATTCAAAACTTATTTCTGAACATAAAATAGTAAAAAATTTCCTTAATTTTGCTTTATTGCTGATAATTATACAATGCATATTTTCATAATGTCTAAAAAGAACAAGTCTGTATCCTTAAATTTGTCATCCAAAAAGATTAGTTTGCATATAAAACAACCTAAATAACGATGCAACAAATAAAGGCATTACATGAAAAAATACACTTTTGAAGAGTGTACCTTGCCTTTTCTTTATTTTTTCATCACAAGGGAGGTCATAATTACAGCTTAAATATACTCTGAACAAGTCATAAAGTCTCCCCAACACATTTTTAAGTATTGAGTTCATTTATACCTTTAAGCAACACTAACAAATGATTACATTTAAAAATTATTGTTTAAAATACACGTGTTGTCACAGCATACTGAAAGTGATGTACTTTATGAAAATTGGTACAAAAAAAATCTAATTCATATTGTTAATTTTTCTAAACTGCACAAAATATCACTTATAATCCTATTTATGTTCAGACTAGTTTATTGAGATGGCATTACTCACTATAATCTTGTATCTCCACTGAAATATCAATACTTCATGTCCTGTTCATACTACAGAGACGCAATTTAGCCCTGTCAAACAAACAAAACTATTTCTGCAGAAAATTTCTTCTTATAGAACATTCTAAAAAAAAAAAAAAAAATCAACTAGAAAGGAGCTGTAGGATTTTTTTCATGGAACATGTTGCCATGTAAACTTGCTTAACATAACTAGCAGCTGCTGATTTTACAAATTAAATCCTGGTTGACATCTGACTGATTTTTTTAGTTTGGATTATGGTGTAAGTTTTACTCCATTTCATTTACCGCCAGGTAATAATAAATGTGATTGGTTCTGTACCAGAACAAACCTGTTTTCTACACTTCATTGCCAACTTCTCTTTATAAATCAACAAGTAATTGACAACTTTCCTACATACAGCAACAAAAAATTGTAAACTTGGCTATTCTTTTACATGATTCAACAAATTATTGTCTACTTCCCTTCTTTAATCAACAAATAACTTTTCATCACATCGGTAGAGGGTGAATATGGTTTTCGTATTGTCATCAACTTGTTGTCCTCTGGAAATTATTATAGAAGGTTATAGCTTCTCTAAGTAAGTTTGATGCTCGGTGGAGATACAGGACTATCTTCTTGGACTTCTCTTTACTTTTACATTTGAACTTATCTTTACTTTAACATACCATAGTGGCCAAAACATAGATGGCAGCAAACTTCAGATTAATGTAATAGTTGAAATGATTATAATTAAAGCAAACTTCATAATCTACATTGTATAATGAAATGATGTAATTAGTTAGTACAGAAAAATATTTTGTAAATATATAATCCTACATCAACATATATCCATCACAATTATAAAGTCAGACTCAAAGTACAATTCTCAAGCTATATGCATCATTTCAACATTTAGTATAACAATTCAAATGTCAGTACAAATTAAGGGTTATATGCACAGCTAGGAAGCCTTGTCTCTTGATTAAGTACAATCACTGTGAATAATTTAACATAAAACCCTTAAAATGCAAGTGAAATCTGCATCCATGCATTTTAAACTTCCACTTTTCTTCCTTTTTCCACTTCCTTAACCTGAAATTTCAAGAAAAATACATAAATTACTGATGCAATGGTCTTTGTCAGTTTAAAATGGAAGATATATCAAGCTTACTGGGTTTACAGGTTATGCGTAAAAAGGGACTTTGGTAAACTTCAAACATCACAGGTCTTTTACTGAACACAGGCAAACAACCTTTGAATAAATCAAAGCTACTTTTTTAAGAAAATGGTGCACTTATTAAAGCTTTGATAATAATTTGACTTTTATATGTGCTCAGATCTCACCACAAAAATAATCATCATTTGATGATTTGAAAAGAATGAATTTATTTCAGACACCTGTAAAAACCACTGCCATACCTTGGCCACCAACTGCTCCTTGAGGTTCCTCTTCCTCCTCCATTTCCATCAATATTCTCATCAAACACTCACTCAGAGCTGTGCACCCTAATATAACAGAGAAAAGATATTTTCTTACAAACAAGAGGGCCCAGAGGGCCCTTGATCACTCACCTGAGAAATAAGTAAACGGGCAAAGTGAAGCCCCTTTCTCACCCCAAAAGCACAATTTGCAAAAAGGATCAGCTTAATCTGAACAATTTTTGTACAATATCACCAAGGAAATTTTTTGGGGCAAAATTATTTCAAAATTGAACAAGCCGTTTAGATATTGTTAGTTCTGGCGACCATTTTATTAAACAGTTCAGTCTGTCACTAAGTGAGAGGTGAGCTAATAAAAAGATGACAGAAAATGATAAGGAAAACAAACATTTGACCTTGCTGGGGATTGGACAATCAACCTCAATCCCCTGGGACCCGGCCAATTTTGACCCTAGGGCTTTCATTTAAACAAACGTGATAGACATCTACTAGAAAATGTTTCATGCCAAATAACTACGCTCTATCCCTTTTGAATTTTCACAAGAAGATCTTCTTATGTTTTTAATATATACATAAAAGGAAAATCAATGACCCCTGGGGCAAGATGTTTAATGTCAAATATCTAAGCTCTAGCCCTTTCCATTTTTTACAAGAAGATTTTTTAAAGATTCTTTAAAAACAAGAGGGCCAAGATGGCTCTAGATCGCTCATCTGGCCGAGCAATTACTAAGATAAGCATCCTGACCAAGTTTGATGACAATAGAGTAAAAAAATGTGACCTCTAGAGTGTTAACAAGGTTTTTCAATATTTGGGCAGTGTGACCTAGTTTTGGACCCCTGGAAACCCATATTCGAATTTGACATAGAAATCATCAAAACAAACTTGCAGACAAATTTCCAGGATATTTGGATCAAAATAGTAGCCACTATAGTGTTAACAAGATTTCACTACTTTTAGCTGCTGTGACCTAGCTTTTGAACGAGACAACCCATATTTGAACTTGACCTAGAAATCAGGGTTTTCTAATACCCTGCCTAAAAATCATCAAAACAACCTCTGACCAATTTCCAGGACATTTGGATCAAAACTGCAGCCACTAGTGTTAACAATACTTTTCTATTTTTAGCTCCTGTGACCTAGTTTTTACCTGATATGACCCATATTCAAACTTGACCCAGAAATCATCAAAACAACCTTCCTGTTCAATTGCAAGAATATTTGGATCAAAACTGCAGCAGCTAGTGTTAACAAGACTTTTCTATTTTTAGCTTCTGTGACCTAGTTTTTGACCAGAGATGACCTATATTCGAACTTGACCCAGAAATTATCAAAACAACGTTCCTGATCAATTGCAAGAATATTTGGATCAAAACTGTAGCCACTAGTGTGTTGACAAGATTTTTCTATCTTAAGCTGCTGTGACCTAGTTTTTCATCCGAGATGACTCATGTTCAATCTCATCTCAGCAATTACCTAGAAAAGCATCCTGACCAAGTATGATGACAATTGAGTAAACAAGATGGCCATGATGGCCCTATATCGCTCACCTTAAGGAATAGATCTTATAAATATTTTTCTTTTTTAAAACAAGCAACAGGTGTATAAAATTCTTTAATGTCATTTAAAGGTTAGTGACAAATGTAAAGTATTTTTGGTCAACATGAATGCAAACAAGTGTATAGAAATACTTCTTTTTTTCTTTTCTTTAAAGTACAGGTTGCTAAAAAATACACTCCCTGTAGCGTGCTTACATCATGAAAATTTTAACAATGACATCATAATAAACAAGACGAAGTACAAATTTGGATAATACTTCAAGAAAAATGGGTCAAAGACAAAAATAGCCAAGTTGCATTTGTATACCAAACAAGAGGGCCATGATGGCCCCGAGGTTGCTCACCTGTATATAGGCCCCGGAAGCGGGGCCAGTTTAAACCCCAGGGCTTTTATTTGAACAAACTTGGAATTAAGACACCCATTAGAAGATGTTTCATGTCGTTAAGTTTTTGCTATACACATATAAGGAAAAACAATGACCTTCCCCCCCCCCCCCCGGCAGAGTTAACCCAAGGGCTTTTATTTGAACAAACTTGGTAGACACCCATAAGAAGATGTTTCATGCTAAACATTTAAGCTCTAGCTCATTGGGTTTTTTAAAAGAAGATTTTTTAAGTTTTTACTATACACATATAGTTAAGAACAATGACACCCCTGGGGCGGGGCCAATTTTGACCCCAGGGCTTTAATTTTAACAAACTTTGTAGACGCTCACTAGAAGATGTTTCATGCTTAATATCTAAACTCTAGCTATTTGGGATTGTTTCAAAGAGGTTTTTTAAGTTTTTGCTATACACATATAAGGAAAATCAATGACCCCCGGGGCAGGGCCAATTTTGACCCCAGGGCTTTTATTTGAACAAACTTAGTAGACACCCATTACAACATGTTTCATGCTAAATATCCTAGCTCTAGCTCTTTGGGTTCTTTAAAAGAAGATTTTTTAAGTTTTTACTATATGCATATAGGGAAAATCAATGACCCCCCCTGGTGCGGGGCCAATTTTGACCCCAGGGCTTTTATTTGAACAAACTTGGTAGACACTCACTAGAAGATGTTTCATGCTAAATATCTTAGCTCTAGCTCTTTGGGTTCTTTAAAAGAAGATTTTTTAAGTTTTTACTATATGCATATAGGGAAAATCAATGACCCCCTGGGGCGGGGCCGATTTTGACACCAGGGCTTTTATTTGAACAAACTTGGTAGACACTCATAAAAAGATGTTTCATGCCAAATATCTTAGCTCTAGCTCTTTGGGTTCTTTAAAAGAAGATATTTAAAGTTTTTTCTTTCGGTTGCCATGGCAACCAGAGTTCTGCATGGGATTAAATTCTTTGAACAATTTTTAAAGGTGACCACCAAAGGAACATTCCTGTGAAGTTTGGATGAAATTGGCTTAGTGGTTTATGAGGAGATGTCATTTGAAGCAAAAGTTTACGGACGGACGGACGAAAAGCGATCACAAAAGCTCACCCTGTCACTTTGTGACAGGTGAGCTAAAAACATGACTCATGAGGCTGTGATGACATGTTACAAAGATTTCCTACCATTAATGTCGAACATATAACTAAGTTGGTGAACAGGAAGTGGATAAGCGATGGACCTGAACTTGGGATGCAGTCACAATACCAAATATCAAGAGGCTGTGATATGTAGTTGCTGAGAAAACTCATTACTGTTAGGGAAATTTCCTTCCATTTTCAATTAATCCCGAAAATTTAACTAAGTCAGCAAACGGGAAGTGGATGAGCCACATACCTGAAATCATATCCCATGGTATGTGACTACATGTAAATGCTGTATACCAAATATCAAGAGGCTGTAATAAGTAGTTGCTGAGAAAATTGTTACGAAAAATTATTGACCATTATTATGAATTTAACTAAGTCAGTAAACATGAAGTGGATGAGCGACAGACCTGAAATCGAATCCCATGATATGGGACAAAGTGTTAATGCTGTATACTAAATATCATGAGGCTCTGATAAGTAGTTGCCGAGAAAACTGTTACGAAAAATTGGCCCAACCAATTAGCCTGCCTGCCAGAAATCAAGTCTCAATACATGATGGTGTAAACAGTACTTTTTTTTTTTCATATATGTAAAATTTTTTCGAAAACCAGTATTATACAGATATCCCATTTGTGTTTAAATATTTAAATATTTTTTGATAGCGTTTACTCAGGGGTATAATGTTGGGGGCAGGATCTAACCCCCAAGCAATTCTGTGGTTTATCATATTAGAACACCCCTTTCTAAAAAAACAACAACAAACAGCAGGGATCTCAGGAAGGTCAGGATTTCACTTGGCAGACTGTTTGACCAAAATTTTCATGAGTCAAATCAGTTTTTTCTTGTCTTATTTTTCTACATGTGAACCATTTTCATGTTTCAAAAATAACTGTTTAGGAAGTCATTTTGAGAAGATTTTCAAGTTTAAATTGATAATATTGTGAGGTAAGGTAATTTTAAAAATACGTAATTTTCTTGCTTAGTAAACAATATGATAAAGATAATTAGGTATTACTAGCACCATGGATAATTACCATAATTATTGTTCCATTTTCCCTTACATTTATTGAGGTCAATAACACATGTGTACATGTACAATTATATAAATCATAACACAGGAGGTGATATTTACATAAATACTGAATGTCATGCCTTAATACTTCACAAATAGTTAACAAAATACCTGTTTCAACGAAGCACATCAATAATTGTATTCATCTTCACTTCTTTGTTATGAAATACGAGTTTATGTTTTTTCTCAATTTTTTTTTTAACATGGCGGACGTTTCATCATACTTCCGGTTTAGTTCTATTTAAAATCTCAACTTGAGGTCAGATTGATACAGATGTTTTCTGAGGCAGAAAAGTTTTTTTATGGACTGATTGGTATGCATTATTTAATGATTTGAATCGTATGTTTGTTCTCAGAATGAAATACTATGACATAATTTGTTCATCAAAAGACTGGTGTAGACGATGTTGAAATATATAATTTTTCCCGCAAACCAAAAGGATGTATCAAAGTAATATCTGTACTGTAAATTAAACTTTTATCTTAATCAACTAACTTTTGTGAAAAAATACAACAATTTTTGTTCACTTTCGTTTCTTTGTGCAATATCTTACACAATAGAATGTGCAAGTCATTGTCAGGAACTGAAATATTTTACATTGTTTTTTTGGAAATGACACAGTCTCCTTTCTGATAATGTTACAAAATTAATGGAAGAATCTATTACTGAATGGGGGAAATTAACTTCACTGTAGCTCTCAAATTTGTGCTATTCTGATTGACTCTGTTTTGAATAAAAATTCACATTCAACAAACTTTTCATCTTTCTTATGCTTTTACAAAAAAATCTTCATAACAATGTCTGTTGAGACAAAAAAGTACAAGATACACTATCTTAATTTATCCCTACAAAGAAAGTCTATATAACCTTGCAAAAAAACAACCTTTAGACCAATTTTCAACTCTAGACCATAATTTAAATACACTTTGTAGAAACCAACAAGCAAATGCCTTGTGAGAAATATCTAAGCTCTAGCCCTTTCCATTTTGAAGTATAAGAACTTTTTAAGTTTTTTCTTTTAGTTGCCATAGCAACCAGAGTTTAGCATGGAATGGCATTCTTTAAACAATCTTGATAGAGCTTCATACAAAGAGTATTTCTGCCAAGTTTCATTAATATTGGCCAAAGAATTATAGTATTATAGAAGATGTTGTTTGAATAAAATGTGGACAGACGCCGGACACATTTGATTGGCCATCCTAAAAGCTCACCTGGGCTATGTGCAAGGTGAGCTAAAAAATGTGACCACTAGAGTGCTAACAAGGTTTCTTTCACATTTGGGTGGTGTGATCTAGTTTTATACCCCAGGTGACCCTTATTTGAACTTGACCTAGAAATCATCAAAAAGTTTGATGATGACTGAGGCAAAAATGTGACCACTAGAGTGTTAACAAACAAGTGAAGACGGACGACGGACAACGGACATTCAACTATCCTAAAACCTCACCTAGAGCTCGCTCAGGTGAGCTAAAAAATTGTTGACGCATGCACAGATTGACTGATGGACACATGGACGGACGATGGACAACGGACAATGGGCCATCACAAAAGCTCACCTTGAGGACATTGTCCTCATGTGTCATGTGAGCTAATAAACAGATTTCAAAATACTGAGCTCACTCATTTACTTCATTACGTGAAATTTTATATGTGAACATATTGTGTCCCATTAATTATGATATAAATAATAAAACAAATAATTCTATGACATCAATAAATCTAAAATGACACAAAGGAGGCAATGCTTCACTTTTTTACTTTTTCTGAAAGCAATTATATAAATGGTTTAACCAAATCTTTAAAAAGAAAATTGAAAAAGAAATATTCCCTTTTTTTTATTTAAATAGGTCTGTCTAGTCCAGTTGTTGGAAATTCAATATCATCTGACCTTGATGGTCAAGGTCAATTAAACGTCAAGGTCATATCTGAATTATTCAACATGTCCATTTGGTCAAAAGTGTTTTTTTTTTTCCATGTATGTATACATAAATAACAAAATTATGAAAACTTAACCAAATTCCATGTTCAGCTCAAAATGACAACTTTATAAACAAGAAATGCCTATTATATCACATAATATCTGAATGGTTTTAACAGCAACACTTTATAATGTAAGTAACACTACACACTATTGTATATCAACAATTTATTCAAAACTTTATAACATACCTTGTCTTTCATGAAGAAAATGTAAGGCTCTCGTCACCTCCTCATGGCTATATCCCATCTCCATACATGCAGAAACAGCCACAGGCTCTAACTAATAAATGATAAAATAAATTGATAAGGTAAAAATCTTTCAACGATGATTTTCTTCTTATCTTCAAGAAGTATGCCATCTTGTTTTAATCATTTTTGTACAACACATTTCAAGGATCATTGTATTATCATTTATCAGAATCTAAACAAAAGTTTTTGAAAGTTATTAATGATAATTTTCAATTCACTTTTTCATTTTGATGGCTAACTTGCTTAGTGGAATTAAGGACGTTTTCGGGAGTTTTCATATAGACATATAGGCAAAATGAAAACTGTTCAATAGAATTTCTTTAAACTTGGCATGTTGTTAGAATATGATAACAAAAACTTTTTAAGCGGGAAAAAAATTAGTGTCACTGTTCTTGTTTTTGAGTTATCTGCCCCTGAATCAGAATTTCTACTTATTTGAGGTCATTTCAAGGGCAGATAACTTATACATACTTAAATGAAAATGAATTCTTGTTTTGACTTCTGCTTTATTTTGTTTTTCTTTTTATTGTTGAGTACAATACTTTATAACATGCAATTCCTTATATCGTTTCTGTCTTCTTTTTTTTCAATGAAAATAAAGGTACTTAAAATTCTTAAAAAATAGGCCATTTTTAAGAAAAAATGCACAGGTTAAAAGATGAAGTGAAAAAAACAAACTATCCACTCTAAATTCATTCTTGAAATTTTGCATATTGACTAAAACGAAGGTGACCTTCATGAAAATAAGAAAAAGAAATGTATTGTTTCCCCTTCATTGTAAATTATCTGCCCTTGAATTTAACGAAAAAGTCCAATTCAAGGGCAGATAACTAGAAAATGAGAACCATGACCCCAATTTTTTTTCTGTTTAAAATGTTTCTGTTTTAATATTCTAACAACATGCCAAGTTTAAAGAAATTCTATTGAACAGTTTTAATTTTGCCTATATGTCTATATGAAAACTAAATGATTCCAGTAATTTGGTATACAGTTGACTCCGGTTATAACGAACTCAATGGGACATTAAAATATCGTTCGTTATATCCGAAGTTCGTTAAAAGCGAAGTAGCAGCAACTTGCTGACTTGTCTGGAGGGGGAAATTTGCCGTGAAAATGCCATACTCTTCACTGGTTACCGATGTAACCGGTATTCAAATACTTCAGCAGTTATATAATGCAGGGCATTTTATTGAGCAATATATCATGTACATGGTACAAGTATTTATTCATGTATTAATTGTCTATAAAGTTCTTACCATTTGTTTTCTTTGTTTATTATCGTTTGGTTAATATTGCAAACAAAACTAGAAATGTGTCCATAGGACACGGATGCCCCCACACGCCACTGTTCTGTCAATCTTATGACTCTAGGTCAAATATTTTTTGGACTACATGTGCCACAAATTGAAAAATCAAAATCAACAAAGGGCCATAATTCTGTTAAATTTGGTCGCAGCAAAAATTCTTTCCTTTACTACCATCTACACATTAAGGTTGTTCATCCCTGGAAGTTTAAGCAAAATCTGCCATCCGGTTTAAGAGGAGTTGCGTTCACAAAATTTCTACATAGTATATAGTGAAAAAATCAACAAAGGGCCATAATTCTGTTAAATTTGGTCGCAGCAAAAATTCCTTCCTTAACTACCATCTACACATTAAGGTTGTTCATCCCTGGAAGTTTAAGCAAAATCTGCCATCCGGTTTAAGAGGAGTTGCGTTCACAAAATTTCTACATAGTATATAGTGAAAAAATCAACAAAGGGCCATAATTCTGTTAAATTTGGTCGCAGCAAAAATTCCTTCCTTTACTACCATCTACACATTAAGGTTGTTCATCCCAGGAAGTTTAAGCAAAATCTGCCAACCGGTTTAATAGGAGTTGCGTTCACAAGATTTCTTCATAGTATATAGTGAAAAAAATCAACAAAGGGCCATAATTCTGTTAAATTTGGTCGCATCGAAAATGCCTTCTTTTACTACCATCTACACATTAAGGTTGTTCATCCCAGGAAGTTTAAGCAAAATCTGCCAACCGGTTTAATAGGAGTTGCGTTCACAAGATTTCTTCATAGTATATAGTGAAAAAATCAACAAAGGGCCATAATTCTGTTAAATTTGGTCGCAGCAAAAATTCCTCCCTTTACTACCATCTACACATTAAGGTTATTCATCCCTGGAAGTTTAAGCAAAATCTGCCATCCGGTTTAAGATGAGTTGCATTCACAAGATTTCTACATAGTATATAGTGAAAAAATCAACAAAGGGCCATAATTCTGTTAAATTTGGTCGCAGCAAAAATTCCTTCCTTTACTACCATCTACACATTAAGGTTGTTCATCCCTGGAAGTTTAAGCAAAATCTGCCATCCGGTTTAAGAGGAGTTGCGTTCACAAGATTTCGGGACGTACGGCGTGACGGACACTCGGACGGACAAGTGCAACGCTATATGCTCCCACTCTGTGGGGGCATAAAAATCGATTATTTGGCAATTATCAGGTATTTACAGCAATCAACTGAGGGTGTGAAATACAAATTTTCCGTAACAAGTAGGAAATTATATTGTAAGAACATTTTATCAAAATCTTTATTCCCTGAAGCCATAACAAACTTGTGCAATCATTCGATTGTTTAATTATCGGATAGCGTTATTCATGTACTGATCCTAATCAAGCGCATCCCGATATTTCAATTATAACAATTTGTTATAACCGAGGAAATTTAAATGTTTTCCGTCATTTGGGGAATGAAAAAATGGTTTGTTATAGCCGTAAGATCGTTATAAGCGAGTACGTTTTATCCAGGGGTCCCTTTCGATGAGTTTTATCAAAATTTGAAAAATTGTTAATACTTGTCCAGCAGGCTAAAAGCACTTTTTTTTTTGTGGAAACAGCACTCTATTTGAGCTGTGTGACCTAGTTTTTGAACCAAGTTGACCCATATTCAAACTTGACCTTGGAATCATCACAACAATCATTCTGACCAATTTCCGGGAAATTTAAACTGAAACAGAAACCCCAAGTGTGTTAACAAGCTATCAGACAAATTTCCAGGATATTTGGATCAAAACAGAAGCCTCTAATGTTTTAACAAGGTTTTTATTATATTTAATTTGGGCTGTGTGACCTAGATTTTGACTCAAGATGACCCATATTCAAACTTGACCTAGAAAACATCAAAACCTTTCAGACCAATTTCCACGATATTTGGATCAAAACAGTAGCCTCTAGAGTGTTAAAGTTTTTCCATATTTGGGCTGTGTGACCTAGTTTTTAACACCAGGTGAACCATATTTGAACTTGACCTAAAAATCATCATAAAAACCTTTCTGAGCAATTTCAAGGATATTTGGACTGGAACAGTAACCCCTACAAGGTTTTTATATATTTGGGCTGAGTCACCTAGTTTTTGACCCTAGGTAAATGACCTAGAAATCCTCAAAACAACTTTCTGACCAGGATATTGGGATCAAAATAGTAGCCACTAGAGTGTTAACAAGGCTTTTCTATTTTAAGCTCCTGTGACCTTTTTAACGTTTTTATTTGTTTGGGTCGTCAGACCAAACAAATAATGGTAGCGAAATTTCAGACACTGATGCTGTTAATTGCAAATGCCGAAAGTAGTCCGCTTTATTGAAGCGGTTACTTCCCTTTATATGTACACTAACACCGAAAAATTCAGGGGAGATCACTGCATAAAGATTGTCAAATGACAGGCGCATTAATTTTCAAGCAAAATAGTTCCCGAATGGTCGAAGATTTCTAATATTGTTTTATTCATTATAGATATACATGCTTATAGTAAGCTCCATGATTATTTACATCTGTGTTAAACAACAGGTTTAGCGTTGAAATAATAAGAGTTACAAACCCTAATTTTGAATAATATGGTTTTCTTCAGACCATTAAATTATAACTTCACCGTGGCCGAGGGGTTTGCACGCTCGCTTAGGAATCGAGAGGTCGGGAGTTCAAATCCCAGTTAAGGCAACTCATTTTTTTTTAAATTGTTTAAGTCAAATAAACATTGAATTGAATATCAGTGTTGCAATTAGTCTTATAGCCAATTTACTACAGTTAAAACACTGGAAAGCATTGGTGGCACTATACAAAAACAAATTGGTTTATAATCTCACAACCTTCACTTTTCTGACATTCTGAGACCCAAACAAAATTGAACTCATCCAAACAATTACTTAGACAAGCATCCTGACCAAGTTTGATAATGATTGAGGCAAAAATGTGACCACTAGGAGTGTTAACAAACTAACTATGGACAGATGAAGGACATTCAACAATCGTAAAAGCTCACCCCCAGCAAGCTCAGGTGAGTTAAAAATCTTTCATTAGTTTGCAGACAGAAATAAATGGACATTCTTACATTTGACCTGTAAGAGTGACTTTCAACTTGAGGGTAGCAATCTAAATGTTAAGCTTTGCACATCTTCTCATAATGGTGATATCAGATTGTGCAAAGTAATTTCAAAGAACTTTTTATTAATTTCAAAGAAAACACAAAATAAAAACTTTTGGCATTGAATTTTTTTATCTTTAAAAGTGACATTGACCTTAAAGGTAGCAATTTGGTTTTAGTTTCGCCCTTTGCTTTGCACATCATCTCATAATGGTGACCATTTGTGTCCATTTTTTATTCATTAGTTTAAAAGCTATGGATAAGATAAAGATCTTCTCCTGCTATGCAGCAGGGAATTAATAAATATGCTAAAAAAATAAAGAAAAACAAACCAAAATTACCTGCTGTTCCAAACATTTAATTTCTTTTTTCAATCTTTCTACTTCTTTTCTTTGGCAGTCTTGTCCTCTTATTATCCTTACAAGATTCTCTTTTTCAGTTTTCAACTGATTTTTCTGGTCCACTTCTCTCAAATAGATATCATTAAGGAAGGCAATTTTGCGCTTCTTGATTTTTATTTTCTTATCGAAGAAATATGCATCAAGTTCCAATTTCTTATAAAGCCTATCATTCTCCTTTTGCAGGCCTTCTATTTGGAGATCATTCCTGCAGCTTTTCCTTTTCAAACTCTCTGTCTTACTCTCCAAGTATCTAGCATATTTATTAAGCTAAAAAAGAGAACAAAGTTTAACATTAGCCAGCCCCGGGCATAGGCAACGCTCAACTTTTTTACTTTTTCTAAAACAAAAGGGCCATGATGGACCTTACATCACTCACATGATTATGGATATTTGGACTGGAACAGTATCCCCAAGAGTGTTAACAATGTTTTTAAATATTGGGGCTGCGTGACCTAGTGTTTGACCACAGGTAACCCATTATGGCACTTGACCTTAAAATCATCATTACAATCTTTCGGACCAATTTGAAAAGAAAATTAGACCGTAAAAGTAGCCCCTAGTGTGTTAACAATGTTTTATTTCTATATTTGGGCTGTGTGACCTAGTTTTTACCACAGATGACCCATATTTAAACTTGACCTAGAAATCATCAAAACAACCTTTCTCATCTATTTCCAGAATATTTGGATAAAAACAGTAATTTCTAGAATGTTAACAAGGTTATTCCATAATTGGGCTGTGTGACCTAGATTTGGACACAAGATGACCCATATTCAAAGTTGACCTTGAAATCATCATAACAATCTTTCTGACCAAAGTCCAGGACATTTGGATCAAAACAGTAGTCCTAGAGGCTGTGTGACCTAGCTATAGAACCCTAGTTTCCCAGATTTGAACTTGACCTAGAAATCAACATAACAATCTTTTCCGACCAATTTTCAGAATAGTTAGAAAATAAATCCCTAAGAATGTTAACAAGGCTTTCCAATATTTGGGCTGTGTAACCTAGTTTTTGACCAGAGATGACCCATATTCAAACTGAACCTTAAAATCATCATAACAATTTTCTGACCAATTTCCAGAATAGTTGGATCAAAAAAGTAGTAGCCTCTAGAGGGTTAACAAAGTTTTTCCATATTTGGACTGTATGACCTAGTATTTAACCCAAAGTGACCCATATTCAAACGATCTAGAAATCATCAAAACAACTTTTCTGACCAATTACCAGGATATTTGGACTAGAACAGTAGCCCCTAAAATGTTAACAAGGTTTTTCCATATTGAGGCGTGACCTAGTTTTTGAATCCAGGTGTCCTATATTCAAACTTGACTTCATCAAAAGAACCATCCTGACCAAAGTCAAGGATATTTGGATTAAAACAATAGTCTCGAGAGTGTTAACAAGAATTTCCATATTTGTGCTGTGTGGCCTAGTTTTTAACCTAAGGTGACCCATATTCAAACTTGATCTAGAAACTAACAAAACAACTTTCTGACCAATTGCCTGAATATTTGTATCAAAACAGTAACCTCTAAAATGTTAACAAGGTTTTAGAATATTTTAGCTGTGTGACCTAGTTTTTGAACCAAAGTGACCCAAATTAAATCTTGACTTAGAAATCATAAAAAAGAACCTTTCTCACCAATTTCCAGGATATTTGGACAGGAACAGTATCTCCTTAGAGTGTGTTAAAAAAGTTTTTTCACATATGAGCTGTGTGACCTAGTTTTTAACCCCAGGTGACCCATATTTGAACTTGACCTAGAAATGGCCAAAACAATCTTTCTGGCCAATTTCAAGGATATTTAGATCATAACAGAGTGTTGTGTGTGATCATAACAAGGTTTTTCCATATTTGGGCTGTATGTCCTAGTTTTTGACCCAGAGTGTCACATATTTGAACTTGACCTAGAAATCATCAAAGCAGTCTTCCTGACCAATTTCTAGGATATTTGGGCTAAAACAGTAGCCCCTAGATTTTGTTTGATTTGGGTTTTACGTCACACAGACACAGTATAGGTCATTTCTATAGGTCATTTGGCAACGTTCCAGCTTTACTGGTGGAGGAAGACCTCAGGTGTCCCTCCATGCATTTTTTCAGGCACGAACGGGCACCTGAGTAGAACCACTGACGTTCTGTAAGCTAGCTGGATAGCTTCCTCACATGAAAGATTCCAAAGTCCCTGTAGGGATTCGAACCCACAGAGGTGAGGGGTAAGTGGTTTGAAGTCAACGACCTTAATTTAGAGTGTTAACAATGTTTTGCCATATTTGACACTTAGGGCTTTGAGTAAAATACTTTAATCACAGAATTGAGTTATATGAAAATCTAACTCAACTTCTAATTTCAATGGAAGAATAAATTAACTCCATTTGTAAAATCAGTTGCTTTCCCTATTACACTGTAACAGGTCAAGTAAAATTGGTATTTTCTTAAAAACACTTATTATATTCACACTGTGACCAACTATAGTGTGTGTGGAATTTTAAACATCACATATCAACTTTGTGTTAAGTCAAAACATGTTTATTTTATATTTACAAAGAGGTTCTGTAGCTATAAGTAATATTTTCAAAAATCAAATTTAAGCATATATCTTAAAGTTTTACAAATCATAAAATTGAATCTCACTTCTCTGGTAATGATCTTCTGCTCTTTCACTTCTGCTTTTTTCTGCAAATAAAATAAATGCATAATTTATTATATTTCAAACAGGAGGCACTGCTGAGTGGGAGCCATTTCACTGTTTCTTATTTCTAAAACTCATCATAGGAAGAATATTTTTGTGAAGGGTGTCTGAATAAACATTTTTTTTGCACAAAATTGAATTGAAATTTCAATCATATTTGACCTTGACATTTAAGATTGTAAGCATGTCAGGTCATTCTTAAATTCATCTACATGTATACGCCCATGTTCATGGTCACTAGAATTGCTTTTTTAAAAGTATGATTCAAATCTATATATTAATAACATAGTTATGGAAATTAAAGCACAATCAACAATTTGACCATGACTGTCATGGTCACTTTAAGGTCAAACTTGAACAATTAACATGTCAGAGTGGCAACAAGATGTTTGTAAAACATGTATGCCCCCTATCAGCAGCCAATTAGTCATTTGGTCAGGTCATTGTAACCGACTTTTGACCTAGTGACCAAATATATTAATAGGCAGCATGCCCATTCACGCACTACAGTGCGTAATTCACGCACAAAATTCTAGATGCACGCATAAAAATTGTAAGCAGGGGGTACATGCACGCAAAGTAAAATCGTCAGAATGAATGTTTGGGATAGCCTATGTACGCTTAATTTTGCCTGGGGACGCATCAAACGACCACAAATACACAAATACGTCAGCGCGTGTCAGTCTATAGGTAGGCGGTCCTATGCAAATCGACCCGTGAAGCGATTAGCCAATCAGCGATAACACTTTCAATCATTATCACGCAATAGAGATCAGACTAATGTATACACGCGCTGTACATGTAATTACCAGATATAACAAGAGGTGATAATTTAACATCTTTGATCAACTGTTGATTGGAAATTAGCAAATTTTACCGACAAAAGGATAAGAATATCGACTATTTACGCCGCAAGTTTAAACTGTTTTCTCAAACAAATGAGTGTAATTTTGAATTATTCTCGAAATTTTCGGAACTTTCTAAGCAAAATTTTGCTTTCGTTTCATTCTTGCAAAAACGTTCTATAAGAGTTTTAATAATTTAACATATTGTGCCGAAATGCCAGGACAACTTACCAAAATACACGTACGCTTTTCTTCGATCCGAAAATTGATCCCGAACATCGGCGATTTCACGTTCGCCGGAATTTCAGAAACCCTAAAATTTCGCAAAAATTCTCAGTTTCCAAGCCAAACATGAGAATGAATTGTACTTTTATTATTAAATCAGCATTAAATCTTTAAATATCGATCTTCAATTTGCCCCCATTTTGAAGATATTTGCTAAAATAATTGTCGATCGGATGAATCTCTAACACACTGTGTGAAGCTGTACACGATTTTCTTTAACAAATATAAACTTTTTGTCTATAGAGTGGACTTATTTAACCAGAATAAAATTTTATTTGGTATAAAGGTGAAAAAAAAAGAAAACCAAACAAAAAACGATTTCCATGTGTTGATGCATTAAAATAAAATATTTCATGAAAAATATTAACAAAACAAAACAATAATTATGCTATATTATACTACATTTATATAAAATGTTCTTACAAACAAAAACATGTTTAAACTTATGTGTACCCCCAGATTTTGAAATGTACCCCCAATTTTCAATGACAGGGGGTACATGTACCCCTACATTTAAAATTGAGTGGGCATGCTGAATAGGGGTTATCTACTGGTCATGACTTGCCCAGAACAATGCACCTACAATGTTTGAGGGCCAACAGCCCATGGCTTGTCAAGTTATTGATTGGAAACTCTTTTTTACCTACAAGGTCAATATGACTTTGACCCCAAAATCAACAGGAGTCATTTACTGGCCAAGTCCAATGAACCTACAAAGTTTGAGGGACAACAGTCCATTGGTTGTCAAGTTATTGATCTGAAACTGTTTTTTCCTACAAGGTCCATGTGACCTTGACCTTTGATCCCAAAATCAATAGGGGTCATTTACTGGTCATGAAAAATCATCATACCAAGTTTGAAGTTCCAAGGCCTAAGCGTTCCTAAGTTATTGATAGAAACCATTTATACACTACAAGGTAAATGTGACCTTGACCTTGGACCCTTTGTCCCAAAAAAATCAATAGGGGTCATTTACTGCTCATGAACAATTATTATACCAAGTTTGAAGTTCCTAGGCCTAAGCATTCTTTAGTTATTCAATGGAAACTGTTTTTATCTACAAGATCAATGTGACCTTGACCTTTGACACCTTGACCCCAAAATACATAGGGGTCATCTACTGGTCATGAAAAAAACATCAAACTTAGTTTGAAGGTCATAGCCAAAAGAGTTCTTTAGTTACTGATCAGAAACTGTTTTTACCTAAAAGTTCAGTGTGACCTTGACCTTTAACCTCTTGACCCCAAAATCTATAGGGGTTATTTACTGGTCACGTTCAATCATCATACCAAGTTTGAAGTTCCTACACCTAAGCATTCTTTAGTTATTGCTCAGAAACCGTTTTTACCTACAAGGTCAATGTGACCTTGACCTTTGACCCCTTGACCCCAAAATCAATAAGGATCATATACTGAGCATAAGTGTTCTTCAGTTATTGATCGGAAACGATTTTTACCCCTTGACCCCAAAATCAATACGGGTCATCTACTAGTCATGTACAATCATCATATCAAGTTTGAAGTTGCTAGGTCTAAGCGTTCTTTAGTTATTGATCGGAAACCATTTGGTCTACGGACTGACGGACCAACCAACAGACACAAATGCAAAGCAATTTACCCCCACTTCCAAAGAAGGGGGCATAATAATATGTGTGGTCTTGTACAAATCTGAATTTAATATAAAAAAAGGTTACACACAAAAAATTCAATTATTTCACCCAGATGTTGGTAAAATTTGACAATACAGTGTCTGGTTGTCCAAGTATGAACTTTATTTGTGATAAACAACAAAGCTTTATGAATTTAAGCAAAATATAACAATTATACCTCAATGGTCAAGGTTATTTTAACATTAATAATCAATGTCAAACTTGAACAATTCAACATTAACTCCAAAATTAGGCTAAAGAAAGTTGATAGACTGTAATATTATGATTCTTGGTTCCCTAATATTACTTCACTGCAACCAACCTTGTTCTATGCGATTGTTTTCTCATAAATCTATGTTTATTTTAGAAATTAATCTGTTGCTTTCTAATAAATCTAGGAACATTAATTTATGAGAAGACTTATTTTTAAAACTTCTTTAAGATCTAAGTGAGTGTGACTCATACAATAACTCTTTAATGCATACACTAGTAGGGGACTTCCAAAACATGATTACCTGTTGCTGTGCTTCCATTATTTTCTGATGGCTCTCTTTCTCTAACTTTTTCATCTCTTCCTTTAACTTGTCCTTCTCTTTGTCTAAATCTATGCAGTAGTCAATCAAGCTATTCATATCACGAATTTTCTATAAAGGAAAAAAGTAAAACAACATTTAATTTTCAACAACACTCTTCCACATCTACTTTGCAAACAAAGCAGTGGTCAAAGAAACTGGAAACTATTTTTAAGGGCTGATATTATAAAATTTCAATTAAGAAACTATATGAAACAAAAACATTTTGTCACTGTCATGCAATTTGAAATAACAAAAGCATGCTTCTATTGAACAAATTTGGGCTTATTGTAGACTAGTAGTTGTTGAATACAAGGCATTAATTCTTTTCCTATGAAGATCTGAATGGTCATTCCTCTTTGATTTGAAAGCTATCCAGATAATTAGGAAATAGATATCAATTCTGAGTGCATTGTTATAGAATAGTGCACGGTTTGAGTTCAAATGCCTAGTAATAAAAATCACGAAGGCCAATAGGCCTGAGTGATTAATTACAAAGCATTTGAGCGAAAAATATGCATTATTATACATTGTGATTATTATTCATTAACTGTTGTTAAATCTACCGTGTGTAGAAACATTAGGGAATGACAAATTTTGAAAACGTTGGTAAAACTTTGTTTGTTTATTTTATTTCACTCTATAATTTTTCAAGCGAAATACAAATTATTAAAAGTGAAATAAATGTAAAACTTAACTCGTTTGCGACATTAAAATAGCGTACTTGATTTGATTGTTTTTCACGTGCTGTTTGGCGCTACATTGTGACGTCATGTTAACAACACTTTAAACGTCTGTACAGCGTTAACGACTGAATTAAAGATATTGGTGTTCGGATTCATTTTCTTAGTAAGACCATTTTCTTTCATTCTAGATAGTTTTCACAAGAAAATTCGACAAAAAATTGTTTTTTATTTATCAGATTTTTCAAACAAAATGCGCCCTCAATGTGAAAATACACAGAAAGATAATAAGAACGGCAAGTGCATTGTTGTAATTTCTAACACGACCTGCATTTTTCCCTATTGAACACAGAAGAACCGAAAGTGTGAGTTATTTTGCAACAAAGTCACTGTTGACGTTCTATATTTAGACTTGTGACGTAATCATTATATACATGTGACGTAACCACTAAATATGCAACGCGCTGAAAATAAGTACGGAAACAAATCAGGTGCAATTTAGCTAAATATCAGGTACGGCAACATTTATTTGTTGATGTCGTGTTAGAATCGAAATAATATATCCAAATCGGTGATTTTATCTCTTGATAACATCACTATGCCCTTGTGATATAATTCCTTGCATCCAAACTCCAAACAGTGATGTTATTGAGCGATAAAATCAATGTTTGGGATATATTATTTCTTAAATAATGCACGCTATGGGCCTTCTTTGTTTATATAGAAAAATTTCCAATAGTGTTAGAACTGAGGGTATAAATGGTTATAAATGTGTCATCTTCTTCTGATTAGTGTAAGAGGCATGTTTGTTCTTTTGTTCCACTTGAAAAACTGAACATGTCACTAAAGATTTTTGTAGTGTAGAGCAACTTATGCAATCTAAGAAAAATTATTTTTACCTCTTTAATAATATCATCTTTCTCTTTCAACTTTCCATCCATACGTTCGATGTATTCCGTCAGTAGTTCAATTTCTGTTTTCTTTAAATAAAAACAAGACATATACAAAGAAATGTCAGAATAAAGAAAACTGTCAATTTTCAACGATATAAACGATATAGTCAGCAATCATTGTGATCATATAAATTTTAAGATGTGACTATTTCTTAAAATTTGAAAATTACCATAAACAAGAGGGCCATGATGGCCCTGAGGTCGCTCACCTGTATATAGGCCCCCCCACCCCCGGGCCAATTTTTACCCAAGGGCTTTTATTTGTTTATTTGAACAGACTTGGTAGACACCCATAAGAAGATGTTTCATGCTAAACATCTAAGTTCTAGCTCATTGGGTTTTTTAAAAGAAGATTTTTTAAGGTTTTTACTATACACATATAGTTAAAAACAATGACACCCCTGGGGCAGGGCCAGTTTTGACCCCCGGGCTTTTATTTGAACAAACTTTGTAGATATTTACTTAAAGATGTTTCTAGCTTAATATCGAAACTCTAGCTATTTTGGTTTTTTTTAAAGAAGATTTTTAAGTTTTTGCTATACACATATAAGGAAAATCAATGACCCCCCCGGGCGGGGCCAGTTTTGACCCCAGGGCTTTTATTTGAACATACTTGGTAGACACCCATTAGAACATGTTTCATGCTAAATATCTAAGCTCTAGCTCTTTGATTTCTTTAAAAGAAGATTTTTTAAGTTTTTACTATATGCATATAGGGAAAATCAATGACCCCCTGGGGTGGGGCCAATTTTGACCCCAGGGCTTTTATTTGAACAAACTTAGTAAACACTCATTAGAAGATGTTTCATGCTAAATATCCTAGCTCTAGCTCTTTGGGTTCTTTAAAAGAAGATTTTTTAAGTTTTTACTATATGCATATAGGGAAAATCTATGACCCCCTGGAGCGGGGTCAATTATGACCCCAGGGCTTTTATTTAAACAAACTTGGTAGACATTCACTAGAAGATGTTTCATGCCAAATATCTAAGCTCTAGCTCTTATGGTTCTTTAAAAGAAGATTTTTTAAGTTTTTACTATATGCATATAGGGAAAATCAATGACCCCCCGGGGCAGGGCCAATTTTGACCCCAGGGCTTTAATTTGAACAAACTTGGTAGACACTCACTAGAAGATGTTTCATGCTTAATATCTTAGCTCTAGCTCTTTGGGTTCTTTAAAAGAAGATTTTTTAAGTTTTTACTATATGCATTTAGGGAAAATCAATGACCCCCCTGGGGCGGGGCCAATTTTGACCCCAGGGCTTTTATTTGAACAAACTTGGTAGACATTCACTAGAAGATGTTTCATGCTAAATATCTATGCTCTAGCTCTTACGGTTCTTTAATAGAAGATTTTTTAAGTTTTTACTATATGCATATAGGGAAAATCAATGACCCCCCTGGGGCGGGGCCGATTTTGACCCCAGGGCTTTTATTTGAACAAACTTGGTAGACACTCACTAGAAGATGTTTCATGTTAAATATCTTAGCTCTAGCTCTATGGGTTCTTTAAAAGAAGATTTTTTAAGTTTTTACTATATGCATATAGGGAAAATTAATGACCCCCTGGGGCGGGGCCAATTTTGACCCCAGGGCTTTTATTTGAACAAACTTGGTAGACACTCACTAGAAGATGTTTCATGCCAAATATCTAAGCTCTACCTCTTTGGGTTTTTTAAAAGAAGATATTTTAAGTTTTTTCTATCGGTTGCCATGGCAACCACAGTTCTGCATGGAATTAAATTCTTTGAACAATTTTTAAAGGTGACCACCTAAGGAACATTCCTGTGAAGTTTGGATGAAATTGGCTCAGTGGTTTATGAGGAGATGTCATTTAAAGCAAAAGTTTACGGACGGACGGACGCCGGACGGACGCCGGACGAAAAGCGATCACAAAAGCTCACCCTGTCACTTTGTGACAGGTGAGCTAAAAATAATAATCTTTTTTTAAGTACATTTATTAAACATAACAGCTCATCTGTGAGAATTTTTGTTTCCAGGTGAGCTTAAAAGAATAATCAAATTAATACTTACATCATCCAGAGCCTGGTCGAATAACCAGTCCACCCTCAATTTCCCTGCTTGAATCTGGTGTTTTATCTTTATTACTTTTTCATTCTGTTAAGTAAAACAAAATATAAATATCTCACCACTATAATTCAAATTATTTGATGCTGTACTAAAATGTAAAACAATGGGTCCATCATGAGAAGTTGCCAAGTCAATTAATAGGAACAATAAAAATTAGAATCTTCATAATTGGTTATCACTCTGTTTGTAGCAAATATTGGGGCATAAGCAAAAATTGTGCTGGTACAAAAACCAGGTTTTAACTGAAAAAGAAACCAGGTTAGTTTGTCTTCAGAAACAAGGTAAGAATTTAGATATAAAGTAAGTTAGTACAGGACAGAAACCAGGTTAATACTGGGACAGAAACTAATACGTACTTAATAATATACAGAAACAAAGTTAGTACTCTTACAAAAACAAGGTTAGTACTCTAAAAGAAACTAGGCTAGTACTTGGGCAGAAACTAAATTATTTCTAGTAAAATTCAAATAAAGTCTAATTAATACTAGTGCAGAACAGTGTAAAAGCTGGTTAAGAATTTAATAAAATTCTAGTTTTAGTAACACTGACATCCAGGGGGTTAATAACTGGGTCTTCAAATTAGCTTGCTTTATACCAAATTTCATTACAATATTCACATCCTAACTCTAGTTATTGTCCAGAAACCATTTTTTCTATTTTTAGTAATAGTGACCTTGACATTGGTCCCAGGTGGCCCAAAGCTATTCCAACCTAGGTCTTCATATTATAAGCTGGCTATAGAATAAGTTTGATTACAATATCTGATTGCTTACTCTAATTATTGTCAAGAAACCATTTTTCTATCTTTTTAACAGTGACCTTGATCTTGATCAAAGGGGGTCAAAAAGTAATCCCAAACAGGATCTTCATATAAGTCCACAGGCATAAAAATCTTTGAGTTACTATCCTTCTTACTGAGTGATCTCTGAAATTGAGCTTTTTTTTTTTTTTTTTTTTTTTTTTTTTTTTATCAAAAAAATTGTTACACTTATGATCTCTTTTGATATGCAAAGTTGAGTTAATTCTGTCCACTAGTTTAAAAACTCTCTTCACTTCTTGGCCAATAAACTATAGGAAATGTCTTTAATGCAATACTTCCTACAAAAGAAAT